ATGCAAAAAGACAGAGTTGGAGTATCCAAAATGGGCCTCCTTGATTGGCATCCATGGGTTTTTCACAAAAGAGGGAACAAGCTCTGTAGACATGGCCCAAAACATAAGGAGCTAAGGCCACCTTTTTATGCAAAACAAAGGCTTTGGCAAGAAGGGCAAACTCAAGCATAATCCTCTGAGAAGAAGTACAGAAGAGGAATTTGCAAAGCCAATACAATAGAAAAGAAAAGAATTCCCTATCAGTCACAAGGCCTTCCTTTTTGTTTTCAGCCTTGACAAAGTCACTATAAGATGAGTTCAGAGGGGGGAAGAGAAAAAGGGATGTTAAGGTCAGGGTAGTCTGGACCGAAGGGATTACCAATAGGGGATAACCCTAATATATGGCAGATGTCAAGGACAATAGGGGCCATCATACCACATCTAAATTGGAAGAAATTGAAAGCAGAATTCCAAAAACAAAGAGCAGCAGGTATTAAAAATGGGTCCTCTGAAATGGTGAACCTAGATAGTTGAAGTGTGTCGAAGAGGCAAAGTTCCTGGAGATCCAATGTCCTAGCAGGGACGACCCGATCATATCATTCCTCCTATTCATTCTTGTTGCTCATGGTGACGGGGAATGAAAATACGCCCATCAATAGCACTTTTCTCGCCAGTTTTTTATTTCTCACACTCTTCAGCAATGATCCTTTTTAAGGCTACAGATGGACTCACGTGCTCCACGACTGGTATCTTTAAGGAGGAAGAAGCCATTGACAGAAGTTTTCAGAGGACGAAGGTAAAGAAGAGAAGAGATCAATAGAAATGAAGGGTTTGTGTGTTGGGTGAGCAAGTAAATTAAAAGCACGAAAGAAAAGGGTTTTTAAACCTTTCTGTCTAAAAGATGCCTAATCAGTTTAAATAGGCAAAATTCATAGGAAGTACTGAAGGTACGGATACGAAAAGTTTCTCTCAAAAGTGATCGTTTGGGAGGGAAACGTATCTCAAACACTCATATTGGCTTCGAAATCAAATATTTGGCTTCGAAGCCAAGCTTTGGCTCCAAAGCCAGATGACAAACATTCAACTATGGCTTCAAAAGCAGGAAGTTGACTTCGAAGCACGTTTCATACCAAAAAGTACAAGAATGCTTAGGTGTTTGTTTGCTTCAAGGGGATTAAAGACTTGCTTTTAGGTTTCTTGTTGAAAGTAAAATCCTTCAAAGTAAAATTTGAAATACTCTGTAGCTAGAATTTGTTTGTTTTAGACTTCGAAATTGCAAAAAACCAATATTTGGTTAAGCAGTGAAATAACACAAAGGGACTCACTTTTTAAGAATAAAACAGTGCAATTCCTAAGGGAAGTTTCCATATTTCGAAACATGTAGACTGTTTTTTCGAAGCAAAGATAGTTAATTCAAAGCTATTGATGGTGTTAACCATATGATTGGAACGAGAAGACCTAAGGTAAGGATTGTCAATTATACTCCATATGTTGGAGAAATTCAAATTAGGTTTCAGTATTCCATTGGAAATGTTCAAATCAAGTTTCGAAGGACAAAATTGGTAAATTTGAAGCTCTGATTATGTTTGCTTTGGGTGAATAGAATGGTTACAAGTATGCAATTGGAATATAAAATCAGACCATGCCAAATAAAGAAAGAAAAGCCTAGCTTTATTGACATAAAAATATTTACATTGGGAAGACTTATTTGGCTACATTCTCAATTTCGTAAAAATAAAGAATGGACAAAGTTACAAGGTCATGAAACTTAGTCCAGCTAAAATCAATAAACATATACTCTTTTATTAATCTATCTTCTATCCTATCCAAATGTGGTTTATCTAATTGATGAGCCCTTAATTGGAAAAAGAGTTGTTGGGCTTTCATTTCAAATTCTATGTGCTTAAGTGCCTTCTCTGTCACATCCATCTTCTCTTCCTCATGTGCTTTGCCCATAATGGCATCTTCTTCATACTCTAAGTCCGGGTTTTTGAAGTTCTCATATTCTTCGAGGAGGTTCTCTGCCTCGTAATGAATTTGGATTTGAGCAGCAGCGGTTTCATTCAATACTTCATTGGTAATTGAAGCATTGATGTGCCAATTGAGTAGAAGGGGAAGTTGATCTAGAAAAGCATGGAGCTTTGCATAGGCTATAGGGTTGAGAAGATGGCTATGAGAAATGATGTCACAAGCCCATAATAGGTTCTTATGAGAAATATCATCTCGCAGGACTTCGAAAGACAAATGGGAAAAAGCGGCAAGTAGGATCTGAGCCCTATATTGCTGGTAAGAAGTTGGGGAAACTAAAGCTTGATAAGGAGTGAAGTGTTGACTCTCGAAGATGGTGAGCCTCAACTCCTCAACCCAATTTGGGTTAGGGGGCAGCAAAGGAGCAGTGGGAGCCTCTCTGAAAGAATATGGGAATTCAGGTTTGTTCACACACTCAAGCCAATTAGAGGAGCAAAGTTTTGCTCTTTTGGCTAGGAGTGCAGGACTGATTCCTAAGGCTTCATCAGGGTGTGGAGCCCTTCGCACCATTCGAGATGGCAAAGTAGAAGTGTACCATGTTGAAAACAAGTTGTGCTCAAGGCTTCGTAGACGGTTGAAAGGAATATTCAAATACACTACAAAGCTACGCTTGGAAGGATAGACTACAAGAGGGTCATCGAATTCAGGAAATCGATAATGGATATGCTCCCTCGTTTGAGGTTGAGTAGGAGTAGGCCAAACTCCCCAGCCGAAAGCTTTAGAAGAAGAAGAGGAAGCAACAGCCTCATCCCACGCAGAAGGTTTTGTGGCAGAAGAAGAGCTTCCAATATCCATTATTGCAAAGTCTTGGACTAAAAAATTGTGAACAATAGGTTCTTGATTCAAAGGTCGATGAATTGCAAAAGCTTCCATGACTTGAATGAATGGAGATGGATATGTGTGGCTAATAAATGCATGAAAATTCTTTCGAGGGCGAACATCATTATCTAACAACTCTTCGTTTGCTTGATCTACGTAAGAAAAGGTTTGTTTGGCCATGCGAACTGTATCAGCCTTTTCGAATGCTCAGATAGTGGGAAATGTTCGAGGCATAGAAGAGAATTTAATGCAGTACAACCACTGCAATAAGGGATGTCGATTGCATTTCTAAGAAGATGCAAAGCCCATGCACGTCCTAGGACGTGGGTAAAGCGCCTTGACCCACTAATATCACAAAGTATTCGGTATATTAGTGCGGTGAGTAATGTTGGCCGTATAAATTGTAAAAGCCAATCACAATTCAACACGTGGCATGAAGGAGGCAATTTAGGGAGTTAATATAAGTTGCTAATCAAAATCAGACATGTGCCAGCCCGTATTGATAATAATGGATCTGCGTGGCACTGGAATAATCAAGGGATATAAGGTGATGTGACCTAACGGTTACTTACAAAGTTCAAATTTAAAATCAGAAGGGAAGCCTAACTGCAATGTGGCGTAGTGGGACCGACTGTGAGAGAGTATGTTCAGTAATCATGGGAGGACATTTCAACGGTTGGAAGTCCACTCCAGAATGAAGCATCCAGACTCAGAGCAAAAAACCAGTTTTATTTACTTCATTTTTCCTTCTAGTTTTTACAGTTCTTTACATTTATGTACTTCAAATTCCTGTACTGCACTTCATTCATAGGAGTAGTTTCAAATAGCTTGTTGCTGTAAACCTCTACGAGGCTGGGTCAGATCATTGTAATTTTTTCATTTTACTTAATGAAATTCTAAAATTATTCTTCACTTAATTGTTATTTACTAAATTTTCCTAAACAAGCCACCAGTAAAAATTCTCTTCATTGAGACTGAGAGAACTAAAACACAATCGTCTGATAATTGATTGGCAATTAATCTTCTGTAAGGACTGAATGATCTTTGCTGGTATGCTTAAAATTACAATATTAACCTTCAAAAGCCAAAAAAGCCAACAGGTATTTTTTATAAAACATTGAATTTTTCGTAATTAATATAAAAGCCATAAGAGAAGAAGAATAAGGAAGAAAAAAAAAAAAACAAATAAAATATTTTTAAACTGGTACCTAACAAATATCTTTCATATAAAAAAAAAACTATTTTTTCTCCACCAATAAACTAGTAAATTCCAAAGTCTTGAGATTAATAATTATAGATTCCACCTGACCATTTGGAGCTTAGTTTGGAATGCTTAGCCAATAAAATTTAGAATCATATTCTTTACAATCAAATTAATCCAATTAAAGAATGAATAATTTATTGGACTTATAACATTGTATTCTTCAAACAATAAAATCATAAATGATCACTTTTTAAACTCTTATTTTTTGAATACATTAGCATTATATTTTTTAGCCGACCTCATTTGATAAGATTTAAGACTTAATTTAATTTGGTTTAGTTTGATTTATTACTATTATACCTTTTATTATTAAATTGAAATATTTCCCATTGGAGGTTTGTTCTTTCATTTTATTCAACAAAATTAGAATAATCACATTTTGTAATTATATTTTATTTATTATTTTATGAGTTAATATTGTACTATATGATCCACATCTCAAGTCCATTTGTAATTATCACAAATTTGACATAATTACATTTGACTTCACTGCGGCATTTAAAAAATGCCGCTATAGGTGCAAAAAACGTCGCTATTTCTTTTTATGACGTTTAGTACCAAACGTTGACAATGCATCCGTCGTTATAGCTTTATGACATTTAAAAGCCGTTATATTAGTATAGATGACGTTTTTAAAAATGCCGCAAAATGTCCTACCCTAATGGTATTGTGACATCGCTACGGCTTTAACGACATTTTTAAAACACCGTCACAGCTTTTTCTAATTTTTAAAATTCAAACTGTTAGTATGATAGTGACGTTTTTAGAAACGCCGTGTTATCTTTTCTTTTTTTTTTGGGTTAAAATTATGCTAATTTTATGTGATTGAACTAAAAGAATACCTATAATAAAACTGAATAACACTAATATGAAATAATAACTATCATTCAAATAGCAAATGTAGCATTAATTCACTTTCCCATTCAATTTAATATCCAATCACCATTACCCACAAAATAACATACCCAAAAATTGAATTCAGAATTCTCAATCAAAAAATTACTACTTTGTATACAAAGCCACAAAATAACATTACCCTCTTCCCTCTCCCTCCCCCCCTCCCCAAAAGTCAGATCAGAGGAAAAAAAGAAAAAAGAAGAGAAATAAAAATCCAAAGGTAACCCCCATCCTTCCTTCACCGTCATTCTAAATCGCTCCCCATGCTGCTTCCCATGGCCTTCAATCCTCTCGGTCTCTGCCAATCATAAAACATATAGCAAATGCAGCATTAATTCACTTTCCCATTCAATTTAATATCCAATCACCATTACCCACAAAATAACATACCCAAAAATTGAATTCACAATTCTCAATCAAAAAATTACTACTTCGTATACAAAGCCACAAAATAACATTACCCTCTTCCCTCTCCCTCCCCCCCTCCCCAAAAGTCAGATCAGAGGAAAAAAAGAAAAAAGAAGAGAAATAAAAATCCAAAGGTAACCCCCATCCTTCCTTCACCGTCATTCTAAATCGCTCCCCATGCTGCTTCCCATGGCCTTCAATCCTCTGGGTCTCTGCCAATCATAAAACATAACAATAATTAAAACAAAGCCACAAAACTAGCGCATACCAAGTACGAGTAACTAGCTCACAACCATAAACATAGGACTATCTCGTTTATCAGAATTTGAAGCATTAAAAATGTATCTGACAGTTAGTTTCTAAAGCAGACTAAACATCTATCTTTGCATAAGAAGAATTTCAGCACAGGGAAAAAGAAAATAAATCCCACAAATTAGGAAACCCAACCCAACAAAGAAGGGGAAGGGAGTGATTACAACCACCACAATTACCACCTCCTCCACCACCACTACAATGGTTTCACCACTTCCCACCCACAGTAATTACTACCTCCTTCAATAAGAAAATAATAAAATTGTGACTACCATAGAGACAATGAGCGCCTAAGTGCCGATTTCTTATTTTAAAATTATATATCTCAATGCACATCCCAAACTTCTCATCATTAGAACCCAAATCTGACAATAAAAATATAAAGTTCTATAACAAAAAATAATAAATAAACAAATAGAAAGATATTGAGTTATTATGAGATACTAAATTTAAGAAAAATCTAAGAAGATTAGGACTAACACAAAAAGTGAAAGAAGTCTATTCTAACTAATTTGGTGGTTTCAAATTCGTAAAGCTTCTAATTTTTCAACTTCTATCCTATTCAGAGTCTTCAGAACTAATCACACTAACCAACATAGTTTCACATTCAACACAACTACCATACCTTTCCAAATTCCATATCTATATATGCATAACATTATGTGAACATAGGAGTAAATATTCATGTATATACCCAAGATTATGGGTAGGGATTTACCTCCCAATCTTCATTCTGTCTGTGAGAAAACACAAACATTTTGAAGCTTCTTCCCCAGCTAAAACCTCTCAAATCCTACTCAAACAAACTTCATCACAACAACAACCCACCATTCACAAGAGTCCAAAGACCTCAAACAACAAAGAAATGTAGCCACATTATCATCAAAAAAAAGAAGAAAAAGAAAAAAAAAAAAATCCCTAAAACACACTCTATATATATAAACACAAATTCATAAGCAAAAAGTTCATGACTGAAGTGCCAAAAGAAGATACCTGTGAAGGAAAATCCGACAGTAACAGTTAGGGTTTCTTTACACACATTTTGCATTGAAATGTCAAATTAATGGAGGGAGAGAGTCAAAGAAAGTGAAAACCCATTGAAGAGGATTTTAAAGCAAGTAAACCTATTAACAAAAAGATTGAAAAGGACCGAGTATCCACGTGCTTGTTTGTGAATACTTTAGACAAAACAGTTATTAATGGCGGCCTGTAAGCTATTTCATCTGGGAACGACGATGTTTGAAACGCCAATGTGGCTTTCATTTTGTAATATCTGACATCGTTGTTGATATTGGTTTTCAGCAATTTGTATGACGCTGTCCATGGGCATCCTTTCTTGTCTGCGACAGCATACGCGTTTCCAAAATATATGATGTCCACCGGGCATGTAATTGGGAAGGTAAACCGGGCCTGTAATTGATCATCTGCTCGTAGTCGTGTGTCTCGTATTTCAACTTCCACACGACCGGTTGAATTAAATGGACACTGTGGTCTGTAGCTTAGTTTGCATTTGTCAATTATCATTGACTTGAATGTTAGCTTCGGCCACATTGCGTTGCCTATTTTGGGATTGGTTATAGATATGTTCGACACCGGTATGTTCGATGTTGCGTCTATGATCTCGGTTTCCAATTCACCTTCTTCATTCTCATGAAGATCATCCGTAAGTCCGACTGGGTTGATCTCCCCTGACATTATGATTTTAGAATGGTTTTAGTGCAGCGGTCTCTCCGAATTGTCAATCACACAATTCGTTTATGAATTCGGAATGTATAATTCATATTCTTATATAAAGGTTAAGTTCATAGAGTTGGGAGAATAATTATTTATAAAACGACGTCGCATTGAGGCCATAACTCACTCTCAATGACGTCACTTACTCCCTTTGAAGACGCAAGTCACTCTCTAAAAACTTTACTGATGTTAGAGAGTTAGGAAGTGAGTTATTTATGGTTCCCAGAGCATCCCACTAATATTACCTGGGACGCTCCCCCCCCCCCCCCACCACGCACGTGTCATCCTCGGATTGGTGCTCTCCTCCGCATTTGGTGCCGTGTTGTCGGCTAAGGGCTCCGCTCCCAAATCTGCGGTCCGAATTAAAAGATTGAACATGGCAAGCGCTTGAATTGAAGCGGTGAGTCCAGTCTTATGGCCCACGCTTGTCTCCTTGATGCATCTTTTGCCATCTGTTAGTATGGGCCGTAAATGTGGACCATGCCATACTTAGTACATGTACACGCTTCTAGCATCGAGTATTTTAACAGTTCTTCCAAATTGAAGACTGTTTTTGTTGACCCACGTCACGGTCAACATGTTACGCCTATAAAATAAAATCGATGTGATTCATTTACTGCCCTGAGTTTCATCATCGATTATGGCCTACTTGGTCATGGCTTTAACTTTCCTGATTGCAACCCTTATATCTTATGACGAGACATTGATTCATTTAATGATCCATAAGATTTAAGCCAGACTAAAGGACATCAATGGATGACCTTTGTCCCATGTATGGGGATGAGATCCAACTCCTATTGGGCCATGTTTTTATGTTGGCTGGTTTAACCCTCAGCCAGCTTACTTTGCACTAATAGATTGATCATTTGAAGTAACTCAATGTTGGTTTCTTTTGGCTTTTAATCTCTTAGTGGTTTTTGATGTTTCTGTGATTTTTACAAATCTAGTCTTGACAAGAACATATATGTTGTAATGAAACTCTTATCATATTGGGAGTATAAAGAATATCAACAATGCTACATAACCAGAAAAAAAACGTGCAAAAATGCCGTGTTTGAAATGTGTAGAGCATATTCATTCTGGCTGTGACCTACAGCACCACACCAAGTTTAAGTTTACACAATAGCATTAAAATTCTTGACACTTTTTCTTAGTATATTTTACGGGTACATTGCAGTTTTGAAAGAATATTCATAAAAGAGATAAACCACTAAAGGAAGTTTTTGAAATATCTAGTATCATTGAATCGTGGAGTTACTTGTCAACAATCAGGTTCTCATCTAGTTATGTTTTATCTATTACGTTGCACGGACCGTTCAATATACCAATTCCTTGTTTTCACATTGAAACCCTAGTTTTCCTTGTTGGTAGTTAATAGGTGTGGAAATATTTCATAATTAATTCAGATTTAAGGCCCACCTGCTGCTAAATGACTTTGCCACATGAATTCATCCCAAAAGGTCAAGGCTAGATTATTAATTTCTCAAGCGCATGACAGAGAGTGTTATTTGCTGGAAATTTTGTATTATTTGCCTCTTTTATTTAGAATTGATATGAATTCCTGTTTGCTTGTGCTGAAAGAAGTCATGGTGAGGAAAGGAAAGAGAAAAAGAAGGTTCACTACATGCAAGCGTAGGAGATTGAACCACAGAACCAACACAGATGCCAGATCATGGGCAAATCTCCCTGGTGATATGCTTAAAGCGGCTGAATTTCATAGACAACCTCTCGTTTGGTGGTGTCTGCAAGTCATGGATGTCTGTTTCTGTTGCTCACAAGGAAAAATTCTTGGCATCTTAAATTCATCTGATTTTCCTCATAGCTGTTTATGCTAAGCGAGCATGTTCCTTGTACAACATATTTGATAAAACGAAGTACAAGACAATGCTGCCTAATCTGGTGGGTAGGACCTGTTAGGGATTCTCTTGTGGATACGTCATATTGCAAGATAAAAAATTGAAACTGGATGCCATAAATCTTATTACAAGAGAGGAACTCCATTTCCCTGTTCTACCTGAATACTTTAAACATTTCTTCTTACCTGAATTTCGCACCGTCCTTGCTTACTCAACCGTGCTTTCAGAATTTGTGTTGGTGTTTGTTCAGAAGCCTAGTGAAGTTGTATATTTTTGTCAAGCCGGAGGTGAGGATTGGACTGTCTACTCGTTTGCTGACAAACAATGGATCTAGCTGTTTTTAAATGGTAAAAATTATGTTTTAACCGATTGTGCTGGAATTGGAATTTTTAAATTGTGGCCTAATCCCACCTTGATGTTACTGGATGTCAAGGGCACCCCTAGTTTGAGCACTCCGCATTTGCAGTTGATGATTTGAAATGAGGAGCTGCTAATGCTTGATAAAATGCATTCAGAACCTCTAACTTTCAAGCTGGACTTGACAAATATGGAATGGGTGAGGGTGGAGAGACTAGGAAACGTGGCGTTGTTCGTGCACAAAAACAAAAGTGCTATAATAAGTAACCCATCCCAGTGGGGGGGCAACAGTAGCTCCATATATTACATGAACGGTAAGCGTTGTGCAAAAGAGCCCAGGATTGAATATAGGTCTGCCTTTTTGTACTTTCCTCATTAGAGCCAAGACAAAAATCTTCTTCTGGATGACATATCAGGTTCTGATTGATGTAGGGAGAGATCTCTATACTTATTTGTGTGCTTGCTTGTTTTGTTCTTTTCTTTTGAGGGAAACTTTTCTTTTAAAAGTCTCAAAACTGGTAGATCAAACTTTGTTAAAATTTTCTTGCTTTTGAACTCTTTTTGCTATACTATAGCATGAACTCAGCCTGTTGATAGCAAAAAGAGTTCAGAAGCAAGAAAATTTCAACAA